GTGAACATTCAAGGTCGTTTAAGAATTCTAAATTTTGAAATTTAAAATTTATGAACTTATGACACATATTTGGGATTCTAAACGACTTTAAATCAAAACTTTTCAACTACAAAGCTATAGATTGTATTGATACCTAAAATTTTGGTATAGATCATGTCAACACCTGAGATTGTTTGAAAATTTTAAATTTTAAATTACAAAATCCGTGAACTTAGAACATTTTTGGGGACTTTAAATAATTTCAAATAAAAAATCAACTACAAAGTTATAGATCACGTCGAGAGCTACAATTTTCATATGAAGTTTGTCTTCATCAAAGTTCATATAAAAAAGTTATAAATTAATTTTTGTTGCATCCATTTATAGTGACGGACATCTTAAGACGCCCGCCTCTAAAAATTGAGTTTTTGAAGACAGATGCTTAGAACGACCGCCTCTATTAATAGCGACATTCGGAGACGAGCATCTTAAGGGACCCACCTCTGTAAATATGTTTTCGGAGGTGGGCATTTTTTTTTACTGTCTCCGTATTACCGTATATAAAACGACCATCTCAGTAAGTCGATTTGAAAGACATGCAATTTTTAGGTGTCTCAGTAAATAAAACGACCGTCTCCATAAATCTTCAGGTATTTTGAGAGACACAAATTTCAATAAAAATAAAATAGGCATGTCTCCTAAAATCTTTTTTGTGGTAGTGAATCTCCCGTGTTCCAAGTAGACCGTAACTTCTTCCCTGAACTAGTTGCACACTCTGGTCATGTATAGTACGATTCAGGGTTCTACAGAATTTCCACTCTGAAAACATTTGATTAGCTAGATCATTTTTGTTTCAATGATAATTTGCTACCTTTTGCAAACAAAAAAAAATCATGTTACCTTGTCATCAATTGTGGTGGGTATATATGGCCAGACAACAAAAGTATGTAGTATACTTAAGATAAAGATGTCACTAGTAGCCAACAATCATATTCCTATGAATATATATATAGTGACGTCTTTGGCCTAATTAATAGCACTTATGGCACACAAAAGGACACTTCAACTAAACTTTGGTTGAACGATGCTGTAAATCAATCTCATGGCACTTTATCTTTTAGGTACCTATTGTACACAATTAATTTATCCTTTGACTCTTGTATCTATTTAAAAAATTCTTAAGAAAGTGATATCTCTTCCACATATATATAGCTAGTACCGTTTAGCAGTACGTGTAAAATTAAATACTAGCTGTTGCCTATTATTACTCATCCTAATGATTTTGTTTTGTTTCCTTCTGCTTTACCTTTTCTCCATACATATTCTAGACATCATGACACTCTTTAATTTCAATTTGCCCCATTGCCCATCTATTTTGAGACTACAATTATTCGAGAAAAAGAGAGCAAATTCAGATATGTCTTTTTAATTGCACTTTCAATTCAGTTCATGATAGAATTTTCATTGTGCACTCCATCACTGTTAGTTTTAAAATTGGAGCTATAGTGTACCCAACGACTAGATAACATTTAGCCTCCAAGCACCCTAATTTGTGAGCATGCATGCACGGACTTCTTTTTACAAAGAAATCATGTATTTTTTAGGCATTTACACTACTATATAAAGCACTTGTAGGGTCGGTCAAAATGGGTTTGTAGAGGCGGCTATATATTATGTCCATCTTGACTTTATCCGACTTAATTTGAAAAGTTATGAATTTTATTATGATGCACCTATTTTTAGAGACGGTCTAAATTGAATTTCTAGCCGCCTCTAGAAATGACTCCATTTGCTTGTTTAATTTCAAAGTGAATCAAACTAACAAGCATTGAACTACTCTACATCACAGCATCTTGTTTTTGCTTCTCCCATTGCAGAGCATGCACTTACTTAACTGGACCGACTTGGCAGCTTAAGTACTCACAAAATTAAGTCGGTCTACTTTTGTCAAAATGTATCTATATATACTACTAAAAACTTGGATCAGCTAGTTTCAAAAAAAAACTTGGATCAGCTAGAAGGAACAAGGTGATTTTCAGCTAAGAATAAAATAAGCACATGAATTAGGGCTAAAGAGAACTGGAATATGGTGTGGTGGGATAGCGCACAAGTCGTGGCGACGATGCAGGTATGTAGAAGTTCAAATGTTAGCTATATAATTTGTTAGGGAAATTTATTTTTTATGCTAGTAAATAGTAGAAGTCAAGCTTGTTTATTAGTGCCAAACTACTTAATTACACAAACTTTAGGGTGGATGGCAGTCGCGTGGTACTGTGGTACTACACCTGCAGCACCTATGAAACCTTAGGTGCCATCTCCATCCATCATCAACCATCAATCTATTCTCCTAGTAGCTAGACTTATGAAACCACCATCTATGCATCCAGAGAATTCCTTGACTAGGACTAGATGTCTAGATATGCATATGTGTCTGTCAGAATCCAATCATCCATCACACACACAATTCACGTGCAGTACAATTAAACTGACATGCATAGACTATTGTGTAACAACTCCATTTTGGATTAGTCTCCTGCGTTGCATCAATCATATTATATATTTCCAAATGTATGCTTGCTTATAGCGCAAGTTCTTACACATCTGACTTGATCAGGGCCTCAGGGGTGCTTGATCATCAGTGTTATAGTTCAACTGCCTGTCTGTTGGTTCTTCACTAATAAGGCATGCGAGGAACAAGAAACATCTCTTTCAAAGTGTTGGTGCATTCATTCATGTGTGACTGTGTGTCCAGCAACAATACAAATTCACCAATCTGGCCTAACCTGTGTGTTGTGGCTGCGTCCAGATTGGTGGCTGCCTCACCTTACCTCACCTGTACCTGAAGAAAAATCCCTCTATTCTGCAAGATGTACAAAGCACCTGGATAGAAATTAATGTGTCCCCATACCCTCTGAAATCTGGATGATATGTAGTGTCACTATGTCATTGTCAAGACATTGTTCACTTGGTACAATCTGGTATAAATAATTAAATATCAAATATTTCGTTTGAGATCAGCAACACAATTGGATAAAAACGGCGGATATGTTCCTCTATGTATATTATACTCCAAACAAAAGCTTCTTCTCCGCCAAATCACAAATGTATATATGACAAGGATAGTCTTAGATTAAATCCTTTCCGCCCATGCATTCACAACAGTAAGAACAGAGGTATCCAGTATGCAACAGGTTCATTGTTGGTGAGCCTACGTGTTGGCGTATCAACATAAAATCTTCATAAGCATTCCTACTCTTTTTTTTTCTTAGCGAAAAATGGAGTCCTAAGAATGGACAACACTCTGTAGCTTGCCAACAATGATTGTACAACACAGAGATATTTGTACAACCCAATTTCATCAAGTCCAGTCCTGAACATTCAGATCAGCATTGAAAACTGAAGCTTCCAGCCTCTTTTGCTTTCCTTTCGGTTTTGTGCTTTACAAGTCACAACATTAAATCTAGAACCTAGTACAATCAGTTTATCACTTGCAGTGTGTGCATGGCCCTATTATTGGAGAGATAGATAAGAGTGATCAGAGTGTTAGGAAAGCCCTTGCCAAAAGGGAAAAGAAAATCAAAACTGAAGAAGCTGAACAGCGACTCTAGAACAATTTTTATAAAAAAAAAAACCTGAAGTAGTATGACTTAAAAAACCCTGAAGTAGTATGACTAGTACATGGTAGGGACCATATATATAGAAACATAGCAAGGGTGTGTACGGGACCATTATCGTCGTAGGTTCATCCGTCAATGTGTGTGTACAGCTAGGCTGTTGAATCAATTCATTGATCATGTACAGTAGAATTAAAGTGACATGCATGATCGCTCTGCAACAACTCTCCGTTTAGAATTAGTCGTGATGCAACTTCTTAGACCAATCGGTGGTGCTTGATGATGGATCGGTCTTAAAAACTCGACTGCTTCAAATCGTTGGCTGCTGCTGCTTCATCTGCATCGCCATTTCTTCAAGGACATCTTTGTCAGACCTGTCGTTGATTGATTCATTCATTCATGTGTGGGTGTGCTGGCTGTGTCAATTTAAACATGGAGGGTGCGTCACCTCTCACCTGCACCTGCAGAAAAACGATGCACATAGCACCTGGATAGAGACGTCGCTGTTCCCTTTGAAATTGATCAGACCTGTTCTGGTCAGATGATGCGATCGAGATCACGCCATTGGTTATTCACGCAATCAAAAATCCATCACACCTGACTTTGGGGTCACAAAAGAAAAGTGTACAATACATGGCATTGGCAAGCCTAGTTAGCCAAAAAAAATGCATCCTCATTTGCCCCTGCCATGTCGGTACGACATCCAATTTTGGAACAAATTCATCATGACAACATTTGTTCTGCATGCCATAGCATAGCATAGCAAACTTGCCAAATCCTAGCCTTTCTCACATCTTTAAAATGAGAAGGCGGGAAATGTTAGTACATAGTTCTGCATAATGCGCAAGTTGGCATTTCAGTATTTGCATCAGCCATTCCTACTTTTTCTACAGAAACCATCCCAGAAATGTTCAACACTACGTAGCTCGGCAACAACCGCACTGTTCTGCATAATGCGCATGTTGGCGTTTCAGGATTTGCATCAGTTGTTCCTACTTTTTCTAAAGAAGAAACACAATCCCAGAAATGGACAGCACTATGTAGCTTGGCAGCAACCATTTGTCAATACCTACTATTGGCTGATTCAAGCGGGATCCTTGGACAAACACTATTCCATCATTCCAGTCCAAAGCATTCACATCAGAATCCAAAAGTGAAGTCCCCAGCGTGAGGTGATGCTGCCAAGTGCCAAACAAATTAGGGCAATGAGAAGTTAAACTGTACGCCTGCCTTCCCCCTGTCATGATCAAACTGTTTCAGGATGTAGCAGTAGTTCAACTGGACAAGAGGAGAAAACCATGTTAAGTAAGCTCCTAAGCACCAACTTCACTAAATTCACTGGAAAATTTGAAGTGTAACGGGACAGACCTCTATGCGGAACAGTTTGGTTGGCACAACTACACCGAATCATGCAGAACTTCTGAATGTCTGTAGGAAGTCAGTAAGGGAAAACTTCCCACGACCATGCTCTCTTAGTTTAGCAAGATTTCCAGCAGAAATGAATGCGTGGCCATGAATTCCCAGCTCCCTGAGCAGCTTCAGAGGAAGATCAAATGACAGATCAGCAAAGGCTGTGACTGCTATGTCACCTCCCCCATGTACCTCAGGAGAAGTGGAAGCACCATCCTTGGAATTATTGGGGCCAGAGGTTCCAAAGTCTTTGGGCTCCAGACCTTTTGGACACCCAAGTGGCAAACAAGGGACCTGTTACCACCCAAGTAAAATCTTTCTGAAAGTGGTAAAATAGATCTTGTGGATCTCCTTTCCAGAGGAACGAAGACTCCTGCAGCCATGACAGCATTGAGAGCACCATTTAGCACACCAAGTGGGAAAGCCACTCGAAGATCAACTTCCTGAAAGGCAATCAACAAAATGAATGATGTTAAGCACGACTGAATAAATATGTTTCAGTTTGAATCAATCCAGTTGTTTAACTAAAAGAAATCCAGATGTGCAGTGTGTTAGAACATATACAGGATTAAAATGGTGAAATTCAAATTTAAAACTGCCACCTTTTTTGTTAGGAACTAGGACCGAAGACAAAGCCAACTGCCATTTGACTGCTTTAGCAGACCACGAAACTTTCTGTTTTTTTAGCATTGGTCCACTAATCATAGAAACAATCAAAAAGTATATTTCAAGGGAGAAAATTCAGGATGTGGCCGCAATGTGCATGGTAGTACTGATTGTGCAGTTGGAAAAGAAAGTAAGACTTACAAAGACAATGCATAATGAGTATAAAACGTCCAAAGACTTGAATGCTACCAAAGAAAAAAAATTAAAAAGGATATGATTAAAAGGTGTACACCCTGGTTTTATGGGAAGCAAAGGATGACTAGAAAGGAAATCAGATATACCTTACGAAGACACCATGAGTCTTTGCTTCCTGGTGCAAGGCATCCAACTTGGTAAGATGACAAATAAGCATACCCACGTGTAGGCCTTATGCTTGAGTCCCTCTGGTCATCCTTGTACACATACTTAATAGAGGACAAAAGCCTATGTCCTAAATGCTCTTGTATGGAATTGGATGACATGCATGCTGGATCTGTTAAATTTCGCCATATCAGGTTGTAAGCAAGGCTATGATTCGTGGTGGAGAGCAAGCCAACAGAAACACCCATAATGTGCTCTTTGAGTGAAGACTTCAACCAATCCTCTGATAGAAATGATATCCTGGCATGTAGTCTTGCTCCAATTCTGGGCATTTCCACTCCAGCACTTAGTTCTGCTATGTGATCTAATTCAAGAGCACCTGATGTATCCCAGTTTTTGCAGTAGCCAAATAGGTTCTTCAACTTCAGTGGAACTTCCAGTGAAAATGATCTAGACTGCAAAAAGGTGTAGTGGTGTATACAAAGAAAATTGGTGAGGCTTGAGAAAGTGAATTAGAGAACAATTTGAGGTCATTCATCTGATATAGTAACGTTTGATCATCATAATTCATGCATCATGACATACTCAATCTACAGTACAGAGTATAGTTGCTAAAGATTGATTACTAAATGTCTACCTAACAGATGCACATACAGTTAAATGTGCATGTTAAGTGACAAATGATGCATGAAAGATTAATTATTTGAATCCAAGGAAATTGGGGCATGTATAATGTTGGCGTAGAGAGCTACAACGTAACACAAAAGATCCTGTAATGAAGAATGTTAGATATAATGCAATACTGAACCATAACAGGAACCTAATCGATTGGCTCTAGAATCATAATAGAACAAATCAAGAATCGCAACTATGTCGTATCGATTCCACAATGCAGCTAAACAGTGTCAATTGACAACTTTCAACTAATGCGACTACAAGCTTCACTTTTTTCTTAAACAAATCACACTAAGAACTGATACACCTCGAGTATTCCTCAATGCTAGGGCTGTCTACCATCTAAGACATTGTATTGTTACTAGCATAGCAGCTGCTAAAATCAAAATTAAGTAGGCATGGCCGTGTCTCATCATTCTGAAGGACTGAAAGCAAGGGCACCCTCATTTAGGTTTGGAAGTCTGATTGTGGTCTAAGGTCTCTAAAATAAGAAATTTCAGTGCTTTGGGTCTCAATTGGCAAGCCTAATAACATTTGGGGCCCAATTTGCATGCCTCTCAGAATTTAACAACGGGGCCAAGAATTGTTTGGGCTTGGGTGTTTGTGTTTCTCTCATGTTCCCGCCATTTCCTTTCTTTTGTTCTCTTCACTTTTTCTTTCTTTACAGTCCAAGTAAACGGATCAAGTCCCAACCAAAAGAGTGCACAACAAGATAGACACTAAATTGATCCACCGTTGCACCCCACAATAATAACACAAACATAATTATTTTTTCCTTCTCTATTCTTCATCCCTACCAACTCCTTCCTCACCTCTTCCATTCCCAAGTTCAGATAGTTTACTTCCGTCAGGTCAGGGACGGCGTCCAAATACCCACGCTTCTGCAGGTACTTCTCATACTCTGGCTGGAAGAAGTAAGTTCGGCATGACCATGGCACCTGCACAATGGATCATAGTAAGTACAGGAATCGAGCCCCAAGTTCTGAAATTTCCCATCACAGTAAGCACAGCGCAATGTTTTCAAAGAGGAACAAAGCTTCCAGCACGCATAGCATAAGCATTTTGGTTCACACATGTAACTGGCACAAATGAAATGGTGCCAAGATTGATAATCCTGCAAATGGACATCACAAAATAAAGCACGCACCCCTTCGTGGTTCCTGGGGCACTTGAAGAACCTTTTGCCGCGATTTTTCGTGTGGTTGCAGGTGAGCGTAATCAGCCTCACGTCCCCGCACCTGGGGCAATCGATCAGCGGCAACCCCGTCACCTCATCCACCAGGAACGGAAGCGAAACCCTAGCACTGGCGCTGGTTCCCCGGCTGCGCGCGGACGAGGCCTGCCCCATGTCTGCTGCAGCGAGCTAGCGAACACGGCCAGGGGTGGGAAGCGAAGCGCGGGACTACGGGAGGGTGGGCGGGGCAGGAGGCCGCGAGGCGAGCGCCGGGCAAGGCACGCGCCGCACGGCGAGGAGGACGAGGCGGATGGCGAGCACAAGGCGTTGCGGCGGGGAGGTAGACGGCAAGCGCGTGGCAATGCAGGCGGAGAGGAGGCCTACGGCGCTGGCGCCGGCGCCGGCGAGCGAACAGGGCGTGCGAGAGAGTGAGAGACGAGCGGAGTGGACTCGACTCGACCGTTCGAGTGTAACAGCAGCTTCATCGGTTTATTTGGACTGTAAAAAAAAATGGAGAAGAAGAAATAAAATGACAAAAAGACGAGAGAAATGTTATCTGTACTGAAACAAATTTCCAAAGTTTCTCAAAGACGGCATGGCCGAATCTCAAATTCTTAATAGTCCAGAGACCAGAGCAGAGTAGTAAACCGTCTGCACTTCACTCCTCTTACAGCACGGATCATGCAAGGCAACTCAATTCTGTAAAAAGAAATCATTTTTAGTTGGATACTCCGTACGTACAACAGTTCTGAAATGGCTAAATGGCTGAAGATAACTTATGTGTACATGACAAGACTACTTGGCAAAAACACAATCTCATTGTCCAAGCGTTCATGTCGGCACCATATCCATTTGCAATACAAAATTTTGTTCAGCATGCCGCGTTGGTTATTCACTCAATTAAATCCACCACACCTCACTTTGGCATCATCACAAACGAAGACCGTACAATAGATGGCATTGGCAAGCCTACTTAGGCGCACCCCCTCCAAACAAACCCCCCCACCCAAAAAAAAAAACACACCCTCATTTGGCCGAGCCATATCGATACGATATCCAAATTTGGAACAAATTCATCGTGTCGTGGCAACATTTGTTCAGCATGCCATAGCATAGCATAGCAAACTTGGCAAATCCTAGCCGTTCTCACATCTTAAATTGAGAAGGGGGGGGGGGAGTGGGGTTAGTGCACATAATGTGCAAGTTGGCATTTTAGTTTTTGCATCAGCCATTCCTACTTTTGCAAGTTGGCATTTTAGTTTTTGCATCAGCCATTCCTACTTTTTGTACAGAAACAAACCCACAAATGTTCAACAGTATAGCTCACCAACAATCGCACTGTTCTGCATAATGCACATGTTGGCATTTCAGGATTTGCATCAGCCGTTCCTACTTTTTCTACAGAAGAAACGCAATCGCAGAAATGGTCAACACTATGTACCTTGGCAGCAACCATTTGTCACCACCTACTGTTGGCTGATTCAAGCGGGATCCTTGGACAAACACTATTCCATCATTCCAGTCCAAAGCATTCTTATCAACATCCAAAAGTGAAGTCCCCGGCGTGAGGTGATGCTGCCAAACAAATTAGCGCAATGAGAAGTTAAACTGTACACCTGCCTTCCCCGTCATGATCGAACTGTTTTAGGATGTAGCAGTAGTTCATCTAGACAAGAGGAGAGAAACCATGTTAAGTAAACTTTTAAGCACCAACTTCACCACTAAATTCACTGGAAAATTTGAAGAATGTAACGGGACAGACCTCTATGCGCAACAGTCTGGTTGGCACAACTACACAGAATCCTGCAGAACTTCTGAATGTCTGTAGGAAGTCAGTAAGGGAAAACTTCCCACGACCATGCTCTGTTAGTTTAGCAAGATTTCCAGCAGAAATGAATGCGTGGCCATGAATTCCCAGCTCCCTGAGCGGCTTCAGAGGAAGATCAAATGACAGGTCAGCAAAGGCTGTGACTGCTATGTCACCACCAAGACCATTTAGCTCAGGAGAAGTGGAAGCAACATTCTCAGAATTATTTGAGCCAGAGGTTACGAAGTATTTCGGCTCCAGACCTTTTGCTTTGAAGCCTGAGAGTGATGATGGTCCACCCAGGCAGCAAACAAGAGACCTGTTAGCATCCAAATAAAATCTTTCTGAAAGTGGTACGACAGATCCTGTGTGTTCCCTTTCCAACGGATGGATTAGTCTTGCAACCATTCCAGCATTGAGAGCACCATTCAGCACACCAAGTGGGAAAGCCACCCGAAGATCAACTTCCTGATAGGCAATCAAGAAAATAAATTATGCTAAGCACAACTGAATAAATATGTTTCAGTTCGAATCAATCCAGTTGCTTAACTAAAAAAACCCTGATGTGCAGTGTGTTAGATCACACAAGATTAAAATGGTGAAATTCAAATTTAATGCCGCCACCTTTTTTTTTAGGAACTACAGTAGGATTGAAGACAAAGCCAACTGACATTTGAGTTCTTGAGCAGACCATGAAAGTTTCTGATTTTTTTATCATTGGTCGACTAATCATAGAAACAATCAAAACGTATATTTCAAGGGAGAAAATTCGGAATGTGACCACAATGTGCATGGCAGTACTGATTGTGCAGTTTGAAAAGAAAGCAAGATTTACAAAGACAATGCATAATGAATATAAAACGTCCAAAAACTTAAAATGCTACCAAAGAAAAAGAAAAGTACAAAGGATATGATTAATGGTTTTATGGAAAGCAAAGGATGATTAGGAAGGAAATCAGATATACCTGTCGAAGATACCATGGGTCTTTGCTTCCTGGTGCAAGGCTTCCAACTTCGAAAGATGACAAAAAAGCATGCCCACATGTAGGCCTTATGCTTGAGTCCCTCTGGTCATCCTTGTACACATACTTAATAGAGGACAAAAGCCTATGTCCTAAATGCTCTTGTATGGAATTGGATAGCATGCATGCTGGATCTGTTAAATTTCGCAATATCAGGTTGTAAGCAAGGCTATGATTCATGGTGGAGAGCAAGCCAACAGAAACATCCATAATGTGCTCTTTAGTGAACTTTTATCCTTTCGCCTGATCTAGCGGTCTATGGCCGAATCTGGCGGGGCCCGAAGGAGGCGGGCGGCGGAGCGGCGCGTGAGCACGGGTTGGCGCAAAGCTTCGGAAGTCGAAGGGCGCCGACGGTTCCCCAGCGTGAGGCGAAGGATCCGGCATCGCCCTGCACGAATCCGGTCCTCCTGCGGCCAGATCCGGCGCCCCCCGCTCGGATCGGCCCAGGGCAGTGGCGCGCGGTGGGGGCGGGGACGATGCGCGGCGGGAGACCGTGGACGGCGCTGCAGAAGCTGGCAGCGCGAGCAGGAGGCCGGCGCGGGTGGCGCCAGTGCCTGCAGGAGGCTGGCGCAGGTGGCCGGCAGTGAAGGCGTCGGCGGTGCGGCGAGCAGCTGCGCGAGGAGGTGGCACAGGTGGCCGGTAGTGGAGGAGTTCGGCGGCGCGGCGGGCGGCTGCGTGAGGAGGTGGCTCATGCGGCCGGCAGTGGTGGCGTCGGCGGAGCCAGGAGCCAGCGGATGCGCAAGGACGGCGCCGTTGGTAGCAGGAGGTCGGCGTGGGTGAAGCCGACTGCTACAGGGAGGCCGGCGCTAGTGGCGCTGATGGCCGGCAGTGGAGGTGCCGGCGGTGCAGGGACAGGAGCAGCCTGCGAGCACGACATGGAGGCTCACGACCGGTGAGTGTGGAAGCTGCCGGCGATGGTCCAACTCGACTAGATGCTCGTCCTCTTGGGTTTCTCTGTCGTCTCCATGTGCTACGATCACTCTGTCAGGTGCACTGCCTCGACCGATGGAGATAGGACGGTTGAGGTTAGGGCGAAAGCCTGGACGGCGACGTCTGCGGATGCCGCTTCCTCCCTGGAGGCGTCCACCCCGTCCTATATGCTAATTTCCTCGAGGTGAAAACCCGTCCTATTCATAGGCCGGCAACGGCGGCGCTGATTGGTGTCGTCACCTTCTTGAAGGCGTTGTTGTCAGGGAAATTGAACGTCGTGTGTAGTGTCGCTTGACCGGTGATGGCAACTACTTGCGGCCTACGGGAAGTCGGAGCTGCTGCGTTGGGGCCTAGTCGTTCTTGGATTTGGTGGCTTTTGGTGCTTGACGAGCTCCGTCCCTTGTCATTGTGGTTTACAAGGTGTACTAGTAGTGTGAGAGTTTGGCTGTTTGTTGTATGGTTTTCGGGCCCGGTTTCCCTTATTCTCTTCTTCTTATATATATAAAAGCCGGAACAATTTGTTCTTGGATCTTTCAAAAAAAAATAATGTGCTCTTTGAGTGAAGACTTCAACCAATCCTCCGACACAAATGATATCCTGGCATGTAGTCTTGCTCCAATTCTTGCAGTGGCGAAGCTACAGGCAAATGAACCCTGGTGCACTGCTTAAGTAACTTACACAACTTTATTGAAACATATGGTGAAAATAAGGCGTTGAATGGCAAAAAAAAAAAAAAATTACCATGGTGCCTGTGCACCAGGTAACTTCAACGTGGCTTCGCCCCTGAATTCTTGGCATTTCCACTCCAGCACTTAGTTCTACTATGCTATCTAATTCAAGAGTACCTGATGTATCCCAGGTCTCGCAGTAGCCAAATAGGTTAGCCTGCAAAAAGGTGTAGTGGTGTAGACAAAGAAAATTGGTGAGACTTGAGAAGGTGAATTATAGAACAATTTGAGGTCATTCATCTGACATGGTAATGTTTGATCATCATAATTCATGCATCATGACATATTCAATCTACAGTAGAGTATAGTTGCTAAAGATTGATTACTCAAGGTGTACCTGACAGATGCACGTACAGTTAAATGTGCATGTTAAGTGACAAATGGTGCATGAAAGATTAATTATTTGACTTCAAGTAAATTTGGCCATGTATAATGTTGGTGTAGAGGGCTACAACGTAACACACAAAAGATCCTATAATGCACAATGTTAGATATAATGCAATACTGAACCAGAACGGGACCCTAATCGATTGGCTCTAGAATCATAGTGTAAATCAAGAATCACAACTACATTGTACCGATTCCACAATGTAGCAAAACAGTGTGAATTGACTTCCAACTAATTCGACTACAAGAGCATAGCAGCTGCTAAAATGAAAATTAAGTAGGCATGGCCGTGTCTCATCATTCTGAAAGACTGAAAGCAAGGGCATCAGTAAAGCCTACTTAATTGCATGACCAGCACGCCCTCCTTTAGGTTTGGATGTCTGATTGTGGTCTAAGGTCTCTATAGCAAGAAATTTCAGTGCTTGGGTCTCAATTGTCAAGCCTCATAACATTAGGGACCCAATTGTATGCCTCTCAGAAAGAATTGTTTTGGCTTGGGTGTTTCTCTCATGTTCCAAAAGAGTGCACAACAAGACAAACACTAAATTGATGGACACCACAATGACACAAACATAATTCTTTATTCCTTCTCTGTTCTTCATCCCTACCAACTCCTTCCTCACCTCTTCCATTCCCAAGTTCAGATACTTTACCTCCGGGGGGTCAGGGACGGCGGCCAAAGATCCATGCTTCTCCGGGTACTCCACAAAATCTTGCTGTAACGAGAGTAACAAAGGCCATGACCTCTGCACAATGGATCACAGTAAGCACAGGAATGAGTCCCAACTTCTGAAATTTCTCATCACAGTAAACACACGGCAATGTTTTCAGAGGAACAGAGCGCTACACACATGTAATGTAACTGGATGAAACTGGCACAAATGAAATGATGCCAAGATTGACAGTCCTACAGATGAACATCACAAAGGGAGAAAGCACTCACCCCTTCGCGGTTCCTGGGGCACTTGAAGAACCTCTTGCCGCGATTTTTCGTGTGCTTTGGCGCCCGCGAAACCCTAGCACTGTCGCTGGATCCCCCGCTGCGCGCGGACGAGGCCGCCTGCCCCATGTATGCTGTAGCAAGCAAGCGAACAAAGCCAGGGGTGGGAAGCGAAGCGCAGGAGGGTCGGCGGGGCAGGAGCCAGGAGGCCGGGAGGCGAGCGCCGGGCAAGGCGCGCGCCGCACGGCAAGGAGGACACGGCGCTACGGCGGAGAGGTCCACGGCGCGTGTGGGGCAATGCAGGCGGAGAGGAGGCCCTACGGTGCCGGCGCCGGCGCCGGCGAACAGGGTGAGACAAGCGGAGTGGACTCGAACTCGACCGTTCGAGTGTAACGGCAGGACGGCTGGTTCATCGGTTTATTTAGGCTGGAAAAAAGAACCGGAGAAAGAAGAAACAAAATGGGAAAAAAAGATGAGAGAAATATCCAAACAGAAACCATTGGCAGCCCTGGATCATGCAGGGCAACTCAGTTCTGTAGAAAGATAACATTTTTACTTGGACGCAACTCAGTTGTGTCAAATCAAAAAGAAAACATTTTTAGTTGGATGCGTACAACAGTTCCAAAAAGGCTCAAGATAACTCATGTGTACATGACAAGAGTCCAAGACTAGTTGGTGAAAACACAATCTCATTGTCCAAGCGTTCATGTCAGCACGATATCCATTTCGCAACAAATCCACCATGGAAAATTTTGTTCAGCATGCCACAACATAGCCAAAACGAGCGGAGGAGAGTTTTAGTATACATTTCAGGATTTGCGTCATCTGTTCCTACTTTTTCAACAGACACGCAGTCCCAAAACTGGTCAACACTATGCAGATTGGCACCGATCGTTTGCCCCTGGCTACTGTTGGCGTATTCAAGCAGATCTCTGGACAACACTGTTCGATCAATTTCCAGTCCAAACCAGCATAGAAAACTTACGCCCCCCAACCTCAGTTTGCTTTCCTTTTGCTCTTGTGCTTTACAAGTCACAGCATAAAATCCATATCCCAGTACAAACAATTTATCACTTACAGTTACAGCGTGAGAGCCTTTCTTTTTACATGTGGTAGTTCTAGAGAGGATCCTCCATGAAAAAGATCAGAGTAGTGAGGGGGGGAAAATAGGAACATTCGTCTTAAAGAGATAATGCTGCCAAAAAATTAGGGCGATGAGAAGTTAAACTGTATGCCTGTCTTCCCCCTGTCATGATCAAACTGTTTTAGGATGTAGCAGTAATTCATCTGGACAAGAGGAGAAACAACGTGTTAACTAAGCTTCTATGTGGAAAATTAGTCATCAACTTTAATGGAAAAAAAACTGAAGAATGCAAAGGGGTAAACCTCTATGCGAAACAGTCTGGTTGGCACAACTACGCCGAATCCTGCAGAACTTCTGAACGTTTGTAGCAAGTCAGTAACAGGGAACTTCCGAAGATCACAGTCCGTTAATTTACCAAGATTTCCAGCACAGACAAAAGCATGGCCATGAATTCCCAGATCCCTGAGCGGCTTCAGAGGCAGATCAAATGACAGGTCGGCAAAGGCTGTCACTGCTAAGTCACCTCCAAGACCATTTAGCTCAGGAGAAGTAGAAGTGCCATTGTCAGAATTATTGGGGTCATGTGTTCTGAATTCTGTTGCCCCCAGTCCTCTTGTTTTGAAGCCTAATAGTGAAGATGGTGGTCCACCCAAGCGGCATACAAGAGGCCTATTACCACCCAAGTAAAATCTTTCTGAAAGTGGTGAGACAGTTCCTGTGGATCCCCTCTCCAATGGATGGATGACTCTCGCAGCCACTCCGGCATTGAGAGCGCCATTCAGCACACCCAGAGGCAAAGCCACTCGAAGATCAAATTCCTGATACACAATCAAGAAAATAATAATTACCTTTCAGTTCAGTTGTTGATAAAAAAAATATCCTAACGCAGAGCATTAGATTCTAGAAAACAAAAACCATGAAATCATTTTCACTGAAACTTAAACTATTTTTTTTGTGCCATGAGCAAGGACTGAAAAAGGGGAGCTGCTATTTCGATACTTTAACAGAGCACAGAATTTTGAAAGTTGTTGGCCCTTGGTCAGTGGGCAGACAACAAAAGGTACATCTACTGGGAGAACGGTAGACTGACAATAATCTGCATTGTTAACATTGATCATGAATTTGCAAAGCCAGAGGTACAAATACAACACAATTTTAACTATTCGATCAAAGATTCACAATGATGTCTAAGAAAAAGACAATAATAAGGGTCACTTAGGATTCAATTAAAAGGTGTGTTATGTAAAGCCTAGTTTTCAAGCAGGGCAAAGGATGGAGCACAAAGAAAGTCGACATATACCTGCCTAAGAAATCGTGAATATTTGCTCCCTGGTGCGAGGCCTCCAACTTGAGAAGACGACAGAAAAGCATATCCACGTGTAGGTCTTATGCTTGAGTCCCTTTGGTCGACCTTGAACGCATACTTAATAGAGGACAAAAGGCTATGTCCTAATTCCTCTTGTACAGAATTGGATGACATGCGTGTTGGATCAGATAGTTTTCTCCATGTCAAATTGTAAGCAAGGTTGTGGTTCATGGTGGAGAGCAAGTCAACACAAACGCCCACCAGGTGTTCTTTGAGTGAGGACTTTAACCAGTCCTCAGATAGAAATGATATTCTAGCCATCAGTGGAGTTGGTATTGCTCCGATTCTAGGCATTTGGACTCCAGCACTTAGCTCTGCTGTCTTATCTAATTCAAGAGCACCTGATGCATCCCAGGTCTCACAGAATCCAAATAGGTTCTTCAACTTCACTGAACCTTCAAGTGAGCATGATCCAGTCTGCAAAAGGGCCACATGAAGAAAATTGGTGAGACTTGAGAAAGTGGATTTGGGAACCAATTCAAGTCATGCATATGATACAGTGAAATTAAATCACCATTTATCATAACAGAGTAGGTTCTGAAGCTCAATCATGTTAGGTCAAATTAGCAGGAATAAACAGTATGTGCAAATCCAAAGCTGAATGCACCTTTAAGTGATGGAGAATGATGAGAGATACCCTTGAATAACTTTCATACAAGAAGCGGAGCGTGTATGATTTTAGAACGGATAAATATATGACAGGGCATGAAAAAGTCCTGCAATGATACTGCAATGCTGAACCAGAAAATGCTGGAAACTAATTGACTTTACTCCAGAACCGTAGCAGTAGGAATCAGGAACCAAAACCACATATCCATTCCACAATGCACCTGAAGGTAGCCTGATTAACTCACAATTATATGAAAGAACTACATGTTACATTTTTTTCCTAAAAAAATCACATTAAAACAAACAGAAACAACTCAATGGTCCTAGTAGTTGTTTCCACCATCCAAGACATTGTACCGATAATAGCATAACACCAGCTAATAAACTATGTAGCATGGATCTTAACTGATTATTCTGAAAGCAAGGACGATCCCAACAGTCTATAAGATTGCACTGTTCACTGAGAGCGCCGTCATTTAGTTCAAATTCGCTAAGATTCTGGTGTGAGCTCTCTAAATCGATGCAAGAGTAATAGTTAAGGACTGCACGGCCTAATCTAAATAGGTGAAGCAAAGCAGGAAACTGAATTCGCTTGATGCCTATAAGAACATTTGATCACTTGCAAGATGCAAACAACTCAATTCTGTATAAACAAAAGGAGGCATTTTTAGCTGGATGACCTGTGTGCTGGAGAAGACGCCGAAATCACCGGCAGCGCGGCCGCTGGCCTCCGCGACGTCAACGAGGACGACGACGGCGCTGCCGGGGATCCCTGGCGGCGGGGCGTCCAGCGTGATCGAGACAGTGTCGAAGGAGCCGAGGCGACGAAGCCGGTCGCCGGCCGCGGCGGCGGCGCGCACGAGGTCCCGCACGGTGGCGGCGCGCGCGAGGTCCGGGCCGACCGCTGCCTCGACCGCGGCGCGGCGCGTGCGGGCGCAGCCCCGGATCGTGACCTGGTGCACCCAGATCCGGACATCGTCCGCGGTGAGCCGCCGGAGTACGGCCTCGAGGCGGGCCGCCTCGGATGAGGACGTGGCGGGTTCGCCGCCATCGTCGTCGTCGTCGTCGGCTTCGTCATCCAGGTCGTCGTCGTCGTCGAATTCTTCTTCATCGTCATCCTCGTCGAGGTCGTGGGTGACGGAGGGAGGCGGGTGGGTGCTGTCGGATGCGGTTGCCATGGTAGCAAGCTAGCTGATGAGAACTGAGACTGACTGACTGAACTGAACTGAAGCGTGGTGTGATGCTTTGCTTCGCTTCTCTTCTCGTCTCTCTTCTCACGAATGGAATGGGTAATGCTGTAGATCAAACATGGCAAGGCTTCGATTTAATTTGTAATTTGTTTTCCAGTTTATTTTATATAAATGTTATAGACGGGAATTCATATGAACTAAATTGTCATCTGTTTTTATCAATGGCCATCAAAATTCTCTGCAGACATCTTGTTCAATGGTGGAAGCACAAGACCGAAGCCTCTGAGACACAAGCAAGGAAAGAAGAACAGGAAGTATACAGCAGCACTAATGCTGCGTATTCCACCAAATTAGTCCCCAAGCTAAAACACTTGACATGGAACAGTTTTAGCACACAACTACGCAATAGAATCATCTGATTGGGCAAAAACGTTTCAGATGAAAAGTGCAGCCTGTACAATCATCACATAGGCTCTCCAATCACACTGATAACATGTACAAACATTGGGCAGAATTACATAGCAGTATAGCACATGGAAAGGCAACTTGGGGAACAGAAATATATTGTACTAGTCCTGAAAACGACAAAAGCCCATTGGGCAGAATCACATAGCACATGGAAATCTTCACAAAGGCGTCGAAGCCAGCACGGCAGAGAAACAACAGGTCTCACGCATTTACAGACAAAGATTTCCTCGTTTCTCTCCCAAGCAGCGAAGGTCTTGGACCCTCAAGCTCCTAGCAACATGTTCAGTCAGTCAGCAGACTTGGCATCCGAAAGGTACACACGGGACTGTATGACGCTGCTCCCAATCAGGAAACCAGGCACCACCATCAGGCCAACTTTCGGCCTCTCCGCACCCTCTTCTATGATGATGTTCTTCACTACGCTCTCCATGTGGATTTCCGAAAATTCACTTCCCTTTTGCACTTGAAATACCTTTGCCTTTGGATCGAAGGAGTACGCCAACCTGTGCAGCAACCATATGGACTTGGCTAGCTTTAGGAATGCCTGGTAGAAAGGTGTCCTTGGATGGCCACCGCTCATGACGTAGTTCCTCTGATCCATGTTGCCGAAGAAAGAACCTTCCATCTTTGGATGCACAAGCAATAGGTATTTGCTTCTGCAGAACTTTCCAAATACTGAATCAGGGTTCTGGCTCAGGACATCCAGAGGATCCATGCCTCGCACTGCGAGGAATTGATGGAAGAAAGCCACGTTGAAAACACTGATGTTAGAATCCTTTATAGAAAAGCTCTCTTCTTGGAACCCACTAAACATTCTTTGGCAAATATAGGACTCAAAAGCAAACTTCTTGTGAGCCCTTCTTGTATAAACTACACCAGGTTCAATCGCATTAGCAGCCCCATCAAGATCCCAACATGCAGCCTTCATCATGTTGATCAAAGGCTTTGAAAAGTCATGTATCGACTGGTATGCGTTATCGACAGCAGATGTAAACAAACTAGGTGTCAATTCAATGGAGAAGTAGTTCTCTTCTTCGTCTGATTCCTCTGATTCCTTGTTAAGTAGGCCCCTTTGTTTCAGTTTCTTCTCTAGCTTCGATTTCCGAAATTTAGCTTCATCAATTTGCTGCTGTAAATGGGTTATCTCAGTATCTCTAGTCTGGATCTGGGACTGGAACTTCTTTACCATGACCTCATAGGTCTTCAACAAATTCTGCTGCTCTTGTATTTCAGAAAGCAAGCGTGAATCTTGAGGGGATGCAGCTATTGGCTTAGGATGTTTTTCTCTGTAAGCATGCTTGAGTTCTGAAAGTTTTGTAAGCTCCTCTATGACAAGCTTATCAGCTTCCTGGATCTTGTCAGGGTCATATGGGGTGTAGGCTTCCTGCAGCTGAATGTATGCAGATTTTAAAGAGGATATGTTGTTGAATATCCTCCCGATCATAGTGTCCATTGGGTCCCCGTTCTGATTCATGTTCTCATCAATTGGTTGAGGATGAACTCTTTGATTATTGATATCATAATTTTGTGACTCCTTTGAGCCTGGGCGGATCATTACTTCTTCACCTCAGGATCAAAGAAGTTAGTAGTCTTCAACTTCTCCACAAAAAATTGACATCCACCTGCAAAGCAACTATTCAGTTCAGATCACAAATTTACAACAAGAGATTGTACTACCAATGGTATGGTAGTTCATCCTGGCCACCATATGAATGGTTCAAAGCTATTGTACTACAAATGGCATGCTAGCACAAGGGGGGAAGTGGTTAGAGGCTTAGGGCCTGTACAACGCACACACATGGCAGGGCGCTTATGAGCAGTTGAGACTTTTTTATGCCACGGTGGAGGATACGGAGGCGCTTCAGCCCAGCATCGATGCTCGCGCAAGCGGCCGACGCTCCAGGCGCCTGATGCGAGGGGACGTCCCTAGGATGTCGGGCACTCAGACTAGTTTGAACAGAAAAATAAAGTTAGTAAGAGCCCGTTGCGTTGTAGAGTAAAGCTATTCTATTGTTTCTCTCTCTTTAAGCGTCTGCACAAGCAGCTCTGCATTATACATGGCCTTAGAGCAAAGTGCATTATGGCAAGCATTGGTTGCTGCAATCTGAATTCAACAACAGATCTCCACAATCTGACCACAACTTATGGAAAAGACAAACAAAACAGAAAAGTAAAAAAAAATAATGGAACGGAACACTATACATTTATTAGTCGGAGTTCATTCGATAGAGTTATATCCATTTCTCAATTTTCACACCATGATCCATTCTAAGCCACTTGGTCACTTGAATCATTGAAGACTACAAAACTGTTGGGCTGTTAGGAGTGTTGGGTGTTGACTTAAATAATTGGAAATGCTTGGACTTGTCTTCACTGTTGTAGTGGTGGGTGTTGTCATGTTGGCTAAATGGAAATTTGGGAAACTGCAATAGACCAAAACGGTCATATTGGAAGCCTAATTTATAGTTCCTGCTAGGCTGCAGCTGTCTTTATAATTTTATTGTGTTTTATTATTTATTTATGTAAAATACTAAAATGTATCCATGCATTCGGTTCTTTTGGAAGCTGGCGTATCCACTTATCCATCTGCCCGATACCAAACCACGTGGCCCCATATCCATGCTACATAATAACAGCACATGAATCATAACCTTTAATGTACATAGCATTTAATTCCCTCTATATGCAGGTACCAACAATGCCTTTCCTTGGGTAATGCTAATGCTACACTATGCCTGTGCTGTTGAACAAACAAAACAGCTAACAAGAAGACTTCACTATTTATTTGTGACTTTTACATTGCATCGTACATCTACTTATAAACTTGATGTACAGTGAGTCAAACGCATGGTGTGCCCAACATTCTACCAATAGGTATCTGATGACAGATGTAATTGGACTTGGAAGAGAAATGATCCCCTCAAAGAGTAGTGATATTTTAGATGGCAGTTACAGTGACAATACTTGTTCTACATCAACAACATAGCCTTTCAGTCCCAAGCAAGTTGGGGTAGGCTAGAGTTGAAACCCACCAAGAGCCCCAAGTCACGGTTCAGGCACTTCAATAGCTGCTTTCCAAGTACTCCTATTCAAACATAGATCTCTAGGTATATCCCAAGCTTTCAAATATCTTTTTATTGCCTCCCCCGTGTCAATTTCGGTCTTTTCTACCTCTCCTCATATTATTAGTTTGGCTTAGGACTCCACAATGCACTGGTGCCTCTGGAGGTCTCCTTTGGACATGGCCAAACCACCTCAATCGATGTTGGACAAGCTTTTCTTCAATTGGTGCTACCTCTAGGCGATCACGTATATCATCGTTCCGAACTCGGTCCATTCTTGTGTGACCGTAAATCCATCGCAACATACGCATTTCTGCAACACTCAATTGTTGAACATGTCGAATCTTTGTAGGCCAACATTCTGCTCCATACAACATAGCCAGTCTAATCGCCGTTCTATAGAACTTGCCTTTTAGCTTTTGTGGTACCCTATTGTCACAGAGAATGCTAGAAGCTTGTCGCCACTTGATCCACCCTGCTTTGATTCTATGGCTAACGTCCGCATCAATATCTCCATCCCTCTGTAGCATCGATCCTAGATACCGAAAGGTATCCTTCTTAGGCACTACTTGACCTTCCAAACTCACATCTCCCTCCTCCTGTACAACTCCGCCAAAGTCGCATCTTATATATTCGGTTTTAGTTCTGCTCAATCTAAAATCTTTAGACTCAATGGTCTGCCGCCATAACTCTAGTTTCCTATTTACTCCCGCCTGGCTTTCGTCCACTAACACTACATCGTCAGCGAACAACATACATCAAGGGATATCCCCTTGTATGTTTCCGGTAACCTCATCCATTACCAAGGCAAAGAGATACGGGCTTAAGGCTGACCCTTGATGAAGTCCAATTTTAATCGGGAAGTAATCTGTGTTACCATCGTTTGTTCGAACACTAGTTACAACATTGTTGTACATGTCCTTGATGAGGGTCACGTACTTTGATGGGACTTTATGTTTGTCCAAAGACCACCACGTAACATTTCGTGGTATCTTGTTATAAGCCTTCTCTAAGTCAATGAAACTCAAGTGGAGGTCCTTCTTCTGCTCTCTAAACCTCTCCATAACCTGTCTTATTAAGAAGATAGCTTATGTGGTTGACCTTCGGGCATGAAACAATTCTTGTTCTACACTTTTAATTTTTTCTAGATTCACAAAGAAAAAAAAATGGTTCGATCTAAGTGCATTATGGTACTCATTGGTAGCATGCCAAGATTAACAGGGTTTCTTTTGTTAGCCCAAGCCCAGATTGACACACATATCACAGACACATGGTATCGAGTATTGACTAGAGTGGCCCCAAAGCAAAGCAAGAACCACGTGAAACCTAATCATACTTTGCTTTGATCCAAAGTCTAGTCCGCAGCAGCCTACGGTTGTAGGCCTAATTACCTCAACAACATCAGCATGGATGCACACAGGACTCAGGAGTGAACCCAGGATGTGTGCACCCGATGATTTTTTTTGCAAAAACTCGAAGCTAGTAGGTATCGTGTATATACTAATTGTAACTGGGTCAGATCCGGGTTCAAATAGCTTAGGGTTTGGGGGTGCTCGGCTCCGCAAAGGAAGAAAGGGGAGAGAAGGGAGCGGGCATACCTGGTGGGTGATCGTCGCCGGCGAAGAGGTGGCGAAGTGCGGCAGCGCTCGCCCAGTCGTCGCTGGCTAAGGAAAGATTGGCGCCGGCGAAGACCTGACGGAAGTCGGTGGCGGTTGCCCAGTCAGTCGCCGCACTCGCACGGAGAGAGCGAATGTGGTGAACAGGAGTACAGGACTACAATCTACACGAGGAAAGGAAACGGATCGCCTGGCTTTGCTCAAGGGCCCGCATGCAGTGGTCGAGCCTCTCTGAAATCTGTTGCTGGACTCTTCTCAGGGTTGGGTTGGATTGGACTTGGACTTGGACTTGGACCTGGACCCCGCGCAGATCTGGACGGGGGCCGCTGGGAGGAAGGTAGGGCTCGACCGCTGCCCCCCTCGCGCAGATATGCAGCCTGTTCCGCAGCATGTATCCGGCTTATAAGTCTTGAATTATCAGTCAGCTAACAGAGATTTTCTATCACACTAAACCTAACTAAAGTATTTTCAGCCATGACTTATAAAGCCAATCCAGCCGAAATGAATAGGCTGATGGTCCAGACTGTTGGAAAAAATTTGTGAAAATCTATGTTTCAGTGGAGAAAATGATAATTTTGTCACTATGAAAGATGGGCTTCGCTCTTTTGCCATCCCGCAAAAGGAATTCGTCTGTTTGTCATTATCACCAAGAGTAACAAGCGAAACACGATCATCAAGTGTCTCTAGATGCAAACACTCAAGCAATACACTTGGATTCACTCTCAATCTCACAAAGATGATGAATCAATGATGAAGATGAGTGTGAGGGCTTTGGCTAAGCTCACAAGGTTGCTATGTCAATGCAAATAGCCAAGAGAGTGAGCTTGAGCCGGTCATAGGGCTTAAATAGAAGCCCCCACGAAATAGAGTCGGTGTACCCCTTTACTAGGCACTGCTCGAGGTGACCGGACGCTCTGGTCAGATCGACCGGACGCACCCTGCCATCGTCCGGTTAACGGATGGCTGCCACGTCATCCGTCTCTTCAAATACTAAGCGCTCGATCCCAATGGTCAAGTGAAGACCGAACGCGCTGCTCGACGTGACCGGACGCACCAACACCAGCGTCCGGTCGTTTTCAGTAAGGTTCCAGAGGCGATCGGACTTGTCCGATCATGTCTGACCGGACTCACCCAGCGTCGGGTCACACACTGTCTCCTCTGTGCGCTGCCACATCAGCGGGACCGGACGTACCCCGTCAGCGTCCGGTCACGAAGTGACCCAGCGTTCGATCGAAGACCGACGCCAGCGTCTTCACTGCTTCTACTGACCGGACACGCCGGTCCAGTTGAGGCCAGCGTCCGGTCCACTCTGTGAAACCCTGTCTTTTCTGTACAGGGCGCTAGTGGCCCCGTCGGACTGTCCGCACTCTATGGGTGTGTAAGGAAAATAGACCATTGGCCCATTTACTTTGGATTTTGGTGTTTGATGACCAACACAACCAAATTGGACTAATGAATTTGTAAATGATTGTTTTATAGTTCAATAGGATGCAAGGCGACGTGATGATCCGATGATCAACACCATAAGCAAGACCTTAGAAACACAAGAGAAGATCCAAGATATCAAGCAAAGTCCAAGCACGAAGATAGAAACCAAGTCGGACGCAAGATCGCAAAGAAACGAGTTCACAGAGGTGACCGGACGCTGGACAGCTCACAGAGGTGACCGGACGCTGAGCAGCAAAGTGACCGGACGCTGGGTGTCAAAGTCCGGTCAACATCAGTAAGGTTCTAGAGAGCCGTTTTCATGACCGAACGCGTCCGGTCAGTGCTGACCGGACGCTGGTCAGAGTTCGGTCAGTAGGAGAAAAGCAGAATTTCATCCCCAACGGCTACTTTCTCAGTGGGGCTTATAAATAGACCCCCAACCGGCCATT